ATTTTGCTAAGGTGTATAAACAACTGTTTTATGTCTTAAAATGCAATATTCTTTACAGAAATTGTCAAACTCATAATTGCAAAACTCCAAACCATTATCTGTTCTTAAAGTCTTTATCTTATGATCAGTTTGGTTTTTATGTGTTTTCCAATCCTTGAAAACAGAAAAAGTTTCATCTTTTGATTTTAATAAAAAAAAACCCAGATTTTTCTAAAAAAATCATCAATNGGGGTATAAATGGATTTTCAAAAGGAAAATGAAAGCAGATAGATCAATTGATAAGTATAAAGCTAGACTTGTCGCTAAAGGCTACAAGCAAAAAGAAGGTCTTGATTATTTCGATACGTATTTACCAATAACAAAAATTACTTCCATACATTTGCTTATTACGATAGCAGCATTGAATAGCTTGGATATAGATCAAATGGATGTTAAAACGTCCTTTCTGAATGGTGAATTAGATTAAGAAATTTATATGGAGCAACGTGAAGGATTTGTAGCCTCAGGACAAGAAAAGAAAGTGTGTCAACTTGTTAAGTCACTTCATAGATTAAAGCAGACTCCTAAGAAATGGCATGAAAATTTTGACACGGTAATGATGTCAAATGGCTTCAAATCAACGAGTGTGACAAATGTGTGTATGTCAAGAGCACTCAAAATGAATATGTCATAGTATGTTTATACGTAGATGACATGATAATTATGGGTAACAATGAAACCATAATTCAAACTACTAAAATGATATTGACAAGTAAGTTTGAAATGAAGGATTTGAGGGTAGCCGATGTTATATTAGGAATTAAAATTCTTAGAACATCCGATGGAATCATGTTATCTCAATCACACTACATTGAGAAAATTCTTGATAAGTTCAAGAAATACAATATAATTCATATGAAAACCCCAATTAATATCAGTACGCATCTCATTTCTAACACTGGATATAGCAAGTCCCAATTGGAATATTCTTGTTTATTGGCAGTTTAATGTATGTCATGAATTGCACTCGACCTGATATTGCTTATTCTATTGGTAGGCTAAGTCGATATACGAGTAATCCGAACACTGAGCACTGGAGGGCAATTGTTAGATTTTTAGGGTAATTAAAACATACTAAAAACTTTGGATTGCATAATTTGATATATCTAGCAGTACTTGAAGGATACTGCAATGCAAATTGAATATCATATACTAAAGACACTAAATCAACCAATGGATATGTCTTTACACTTGAAGGTGCTGCAGTATCATAGAAATCTTCAAAACAAACATGTATAGCTAGATCAATAATGGAATCTGAATTCATTGCGGTAAACAAAGTTGGGGAAGAATCTAAATGGCTACAAAACTTTCTAGAAGATATTCCATATTGGATTAAACATGTGTATGCTATATGTATCCATAGGAATGGCAAAAAATTCGACAAACCCGATACCAGCGAGGCCTCGCCCCGAACGGGGCGGGGAAAACCCGCTTAAACGGGTAACGGGGTGGGGACGGGGCGGAGAATTTTGCCTCGGGGCGGGGACCCATTCAAAAAAAGTTTTTATTTTTTTTAGAATTCAATACTTTAAATGAAAATTTAACTAAAATTATTTGTCTAAATCTAAAGAATATAGGTAATAAAAATAAATTATCAAAAACTAAAAAAAAAAAAAATTAATGGGGAAATGACATACCCCCGCCCCGCCTTGCCTTAAACGGGGTGGGGAATTTCTTAGCGGGGCGAGGGGCGAAGAGGGCTCCCCCGCCCCGCCCCGCCCTACCCAGCCCAGCCATGTTGCCATCCCTATATATCTATTGCGATAATTAATCAACAATTGTTATGGCACAAAATGATATGTATATTGGTAAATCTCGACATATACGTCGTAGACACAATACTGTTAGACAGTTTCTCTCTACTAGTATTATCTCTATAAATTATGTGAAACCAAAAGAGAATATTGCTGATCCGCTAACTTAAGGCTTAACTAAAGAGTAAGTCGAAAGTTCATCGAGTGGGATGCGATTAAAACTCATAAAATAATCAAAGGTTTCCATGGTGGCAACCCAACCTAGTTGATTGGAGATCCTAAGATCTAGGNGATGAGACAGTGCATAACTGCCGCGAAATAGGATAAGTTACGCTTTTAATGATTTCTATATCTTGATTCGTTCAAGTGGAGTATAGCAGAATACTCTTTATGGAAATCACCTATGTGGGTGAGAGGCCGCTTCTAAGAGAGTTATGTGAAGATAAATTCTCTAAACACCACTCATGAACCAAAATGTGTCCAATGCCAAAATGGACACAAACGTGAGAACCAATTGTGTTAGAAGAAAATTGTGTGACTTCTATTGTCTAGGTGTACTATAACGGCTGACTGTTCAAAGCATCTTGCTACTGATTGGCTTAGTATATCCGATAGATTTTACTAGGGAAAATTCAAAGTTTTTGGCTACTTATCCCGATGCATTTTTTCTTCAATTTTACTTCAAAAACATATCAGATGTTGTTGTTTGGAAAAATGGCTGACATATTTCATTTATGTAGGGGATTGTTGGAAATTGTTTAGTGAAATAGGTCAACTTTAAGTCCCATTTTGAGTGAGGCCCGTACATCGATTATAACGAGACCAAGCATATTCACATTTTACTCCACAATGTGATCAACGTGATATATTTATTTATTGAAATCAGCTCGGTACGGTACGAGCACGTGCCCGAGCCCGAGCACGGTCAGGTCTGGTGCGGATGTGTCATCTATCTTTTTGGACAAAATTTATTTAATTTTGGATCAAATTGTAATTAATCAAATTCGTGGGTACTTAATGAAATCATTATTTTTTTATTGTCTCATTTTCGGGTAATTTTTTGGATGGTATGTTAATTAACTAAAAAATCAACTGTCAACCAAACCTTGCTATCTGTTCAGATTTTGGGGGCTGTCTACAGTGACGACTGTTCTGAAATGGCTTGAAGGTTGTTTGAATGGCCACAAACAAATCTATAAACTGTCTGCCCCACTGCCAGAAAAATTACACCATTTTTCATTGCAACCATTCTCTGCTTTGAATCTCACTCCACTATCTCGTTCTGATATTATTTTCAAAGTGAAAAAAACACTTCGTTGAATTCGTTGGAACTCCTGCAGATCGTCGTGCTGCTTCCACAAGAGACGAAATTCGTTCTATCATGAGAAATGATTGTTGAATACCTTTAACACCTGTGAAGACAGCAAATTCGTTTTAAAAGAATATCTTGAACTCGGTGGGCTCGAATTAATATTGTGATCATGTTGATCAAACTGATTACACTGTCCAATTACTTCAAGGTAATTCTGTCGTAATTTTGAAGGAGAGTTTTGCATTCCAGAATAACAATTTTTGTCCAGATCTTTTCTAGTTTACCCCTATTTAATTTTCAGTTTGTAAAACTAAATTATTGTTGGAATTGATAAAGAATTTGAAGAAGATGATGAAATGAAAGTTGTTTCATATTTCCAAGAAGTGGAAAATGTTTGTATTTGGATGATTTCAAGAAATTGACATATTAAGTGGAGAAAATTTAATAAGGATATATTGGTAAAGGAATACAACAAAATATTCTACATTAGGAAACGTGTCTATATGTTTGGAACAAGAGAAAAATGAAACACAGCCTATATAATTGGGACGGAATGAGTAATAATTACATATTTAGTTTGCATGAAAAAATGTTATAGGTTGGCAAAAAGGAAAGAAAATGTGAAGATTGAAGACTTTCCATCACCTTATTTACCCTAGTTATTAAAATCTAAATTTTAATTTATGTCAAAATCAACTATTTATTTTCACCATATATTTCATGGAACACTCATCATTTTAACCACACATTCATCAATTATTATCAAAATGTACTAAAAATTAAATTTTAATCTCCACCAACACGAGCTTAGTGATGAGTTTATGTAGAAAAATAAAATTTTGATTAAATTTCAAAATTTTCGTTAACTTTCTCGTGTGAGTCTTAATAGTATTCTTAGTTACCCCAATCTTTTTTTATGAGGGTTAAAATTAATTTTTTAGCAGATTTTGATAAAATTTGATTAAATACGTGATTGAAAAATCGTGAGTCCATGAAGTATATGATTATAATTAATTGTTGACTTTGACTCTATTAAAAATCTAAATTTTAATCTCAACCAAAATTTCAATTTATGATATGCCGTATGTCAATATCTCCACGTTAAGTAAGCTTTGTGCTTGGCTACGTGAATTAGATAGATGTCAAAGTAGAAAGTCACTCCCAAGTCGCCAAAGTATTCCATCACAATGTTTTTTTGCTTCAAAATGCTAAGAATTGATTCAAAAATTTAGGACGTGATTAGTAATTTTTGTCATTTATTAAGCAAACTGGGTTCTTTTTACAATGACTACGTGGCGGTTGAATCAAGAACAAGTAAAAACGGTGCTACCATCTTGCAACATGTGAGAGCTATTGCAAAGTACGGCGGTCTCTCCATGCGACAACCCATAACAAAAATCCACGTGCATCCAATCATAAACTGAAACGTGGCACAGGGAGGAGCTTCTATTCACATGCTTCTTGTTAGTTTGTCAAAAAACAACACATGATGTTCTTTTCTATTTTGCTTTTTGGGAATGTTAATATGAATGGTCCATGTCAATTCCTACCAAAATATCTCAAATCAAGATTAACAACTAACATTAGTGTCACAACAAGCAATTAAGTATCTACATCCATAAACATACTCCAAGAGCAAGAGATTAGTTCAAGTTTGATTGATTCAAATTTACTTCGAGATTAGTTTTATAGGAAGGAGTCCAGTTTGAACAAATATTTTAAGCTCGTGACTTTTTGCTTCGTCTACAGCAGCGTTCCTTTTGTTAAAATGTATAGAATATATTAGTCGAACAACTCGGCTTGCTGAGAGTTTGGTCACGACTGCCATTACTCTATTCTTGTTTCTTTCAAGTAAAGCATGAGCTTTTTACCTGTTTTGTAACTTTGTGCAGCTAATCTTTCCAACCTTCCTTGCTAAACCTTCTTGAGGCAATGCCTATGGACGACAGACTCGGAGTGACAGGCAATGATGGTGTTTTCGATGCTTCCTCATCGTCCCAACTATCTCCCCAACTGTCGTCCCAACCTTTGTGTGATTCTGACTCAACTTTGCTCCCACGGGAAACTGGCAACTCCATTTCTAGCTTTTGGTATTTAGGATTCCTCACAAAATGCCGCCTCAAGAACTTGGTGCATGACCAGACTGACAATAATGCTAATGCAGCCAAAAACACAAATCCAATGGAGGTAGTTTGCTTGAAACGATTGATATAACCGAACTGCGAGGTGCTGTCAAAGTTTTTCCTACCAGTTTGATCCCTAAAATCGAGAACGCAGTTACCATGGCCTGCTGTGAGGATGATGGAATCATTACTTCCCGCACTTTTGATGGAAACCCTGACCTGCATGAAAAAAAAAATTATAAAGTATAAAAAATAAAAGACACAATGACACTGTTTCCATGACCTACCCAATAATCTGAATGAACTTAAAATTACTTATCATATAAAGAAGAATCATTTATGAACATGAGTTACAAACAAAATAATGGACAGCAGTTGGCATCATTATGATTGCAAAGCATACTTAATAATCAACAAATGATACAATTGAGGTCAATGACTGCATGAATATACATAGAAAAAAGTTAAAAGCAACTAAGGCCAGTGTTCAGGTAAAATATCCATTGCTTCGAGGGAGCACCATATCTTAAATATCAAAATAAAATTACATTTTTCTATGAAAAGATAACAAAAAATTCATTAATGCTGTTTATAACGTTCACATAAAGTAGAGTCTTTGTTAGGATAAGGATTGTACAATAGTAACATTCCAAGATCGTGATCAGGAACTCAATAATTATGAGGCCAAGAGCCCAAGGAGGCTTGAATGTATGTGCAACAAACAATGTAAGAATTGTGGATTCGACCATAGCACGACATCCACAAGTCCTTCAAAACAAATACAGTCACGTACTACTGAACTGACATGCAATAAGCAGCAAGGTGCAGTATCTGGCTATCTGCAATCATGTGCCCATATATAGTTGTTTCAAAAACCATGTATGAGCAGTGTTGGTTGTTGTACATCATATAAAAGCTTTGTTACTCAAACTCATTTCTAAAAATGCTGTGCTATTGATCATCATCTTGTCGGGAAATATTTTTGGAGGATCAATGTCATCTTTACCTGATGAACAACTGCTTGCACATAGTTTTAGAAAACTTCATACGTGGAAATGTGCCGTAGATTAATAACCCAACAACGTAATAGCATGTAAGTGCAGTATTAGCAGTTGTTACAACTTGTCAAGTCAAACCACACATTTGTTGGTCGTGTTCTCGTTTTGCTCATTTCAATATGAAACATTGCTTCATGGTTGACAGCAAACAAAAGTACAATTATAAAGAACACATGGTCTGATGGTTATATTCAAAGTTCCAACAAGAGCGAACTCCTGACCATCGTCAAATTGGCTTAAAACATCACTTTAAAAAGCCATCCACAATTGAATTCTCATGAAGGCAAGAGTTAAATTATTGTCGGCATCTTCACAATCAAATATACCCCTGTTGGGGCTCTATTTTAAGAAAAATCATTTTTCTCTTTCTTATTTTCAACCACACATTTTCCAATAAAATGATATTACACGTAAACCCAAAATTTTTTCATATTTTTCCACCACACATTATCCAACAATCACTATTCTAAAATACATTTTTTCCCAAAATTTAATTTTAATAGAGCCCAAACATGGGCATAGTCTAATAAAATCTTAGCATATGTTGTCAGTTGTCTTGGTAGTCATTCTGAATGATTATAAAGCAATTTCTCTAGGTGGGAATGAAAGGAATAGAAACATTGGGACAAACCGAATTCATAGTTTGAGGTCGCTGTTCGTGGTGCTACCTGGGGAATTAGGTACACCCGGGAACATAGTCCAAGTCTGGACTGAAGAAGTATTTACTCTATATCTCTCTCTTACCCCCCACTATCTTTCCCTATTTATTATCCTTTTCTACATTTTCTCATCTTCCAATATCTCCGTCTCTAATTTTACAGTACATACTTCTGTCTCTCACCTCCATTTTTTATTTTTATTTTTGGAAACCATTCTAATAGCCCAAATGTCAAATGTATTGTTATTAATATAACTTCCTCGTGTCCAGGAACTGCCTTCAGTCACAATTCTCCAACGATGATTATTAATCTATGTGCAATTCAAATCACTTGATCATACAAAATTGTAGAAACCTTCCTAGACGGGAATTCTTTATTTTTTTTGGTGCAAAAATGAGCATGCACATCTTGAACCTATCAAGAGATATTTGTGAGGTATTTATAAAAATGGTACGATGTATAGTTCACATTAACAATCTTTTCTAGATCCTTTTGTACGCTGATATGTGACAATTCATAATCTATATATATGTGGAATTTAATTCTATTTTCTTTATCTAAACAATCCCCCCACTTGTGGCCACCTGAGAACCAGTATCAAGTATAGAAATCAATTCACAGTATTCAAACTTCTCAAAATACATTATTAAAATGTTAAATATATACCTCTGAGTATTCCTTCGCTGAGATTTGAATTTCCTTTTTCTCAAGTTGAACAGAATCAGGAGCCGAAATAGCAATCCTAACAAGGCCTTTTCCTTCATTTTGAATCAAGAGTGAAAGATCCGGAGAATCTGGTGTATCAAGAGTAAAAAATCTCATTAAACATAAATTAGTCGATCCAATAGTTAATATAAAAATCCGCTGAAAATAAAATGTACAAGGACAAGCTCAGTCATAATCAGATAAAATCATGCAATAAGAACAAGTTCAATCATTTCTGGTAATTAAAAACTCAGATCAGCTAAATGCAGAACTGTCATCTGATGGAAATGGAATTTCTATCAATCTGCAATCATATGAAGTATGGCGTTAAAACAGAATGACTTTGAAGAGCATTATCCAACTACACTAATCTTCAGGATCAAATAGCATTGACTACACATTACATTAGGCAAAGTCTTACTTGAGCTGGTCAACCATGTACCCATCTAATATTAGACAATGAGAAACGAAATCTATGCAGCCTTCCTCTGAACAATCCTACTTTTGCTGGAATATTGCCAATATAATCTAAATGAATATCCTAGTACAGTCTTAGTATAAGTATAACAAGCCTCATATGATGTTATCTCCCTATATTTCATGCCTGGCATATGCAGAGGTCTTAAATGTCCAATTGGCCATCCACGCTCAAAACCATTTTTTTTTTTTTAATTATTAAAGACGTGAACTAATATCCTGTTTGGTGCACATTAAAATGAGAGAATACATTTTTTTGAAGTGATGTGATGGGGAATATGTGGTTGAAAAGGAATGAAAAGTTATTGATATGATAGAAAATATCATTTTATTGATGTGTGATTGAAAATGAGTAGAAGAATGAGAATGAAAAAAATAATGTGAATCAAACAGGGGCATGATTTGTTTAGCCTATACAAAAGTATATATGCAAAGATTATTGCAAGATAGACACGAAAAGTAATTCAACTAGTGAACAAAGAACAACCATCAATCCATAAACAACAATTATCAAAGAACTTGAAGCGCATACCATCGCCCGGAACTCTCAAACAAGCAATCAATGTCTTATCATCGTCTGTGCAACTATTTGATGAAGGGTCACATTTTTCTCTTGGTGGAGACAAGCTCCCCTCTTTAGACTTGGAGTCCAATCCCTTATTATCCTTTTGGCCATCTCTTGAATCACCATCATTCACCTTCTTTCCTTCGTTTTTTGGCTCCAGCTGCTTGCTCAAATCACGTTCGTTTAAATTAACACCCACAACCTTCTTCACCATGTCTACTTTCTTATCCACGCCGTCACTCTCATTAACTTTTAAAATTGATTGTATTTTCGTATCTGAAACAGCTTTTGGAGGCCCATTAACCTACCAATAACAAATACTATTTCTACATTAATAACTAGCACCATTAATTAATTTTCATAAAAGAACATTTATCTCATCGAATATTTTCAGCACCACAAAATTTACCTCTGAATCGGCAATTGCACAGTGGAAAAAGACTGGAGCTAGAACTATAGTCAGCAAAAGAGTAGTAAAGTTCATCTTCATTTCCTCCCAATTCTACGCGATCCGATAATCAAACAATATTAATTAACTAATTAAGCATCAAATTGGGAAAACAGAAGCATATATTTAGGAGTGTGCATGAAGTAATGAAGTTGTAGTGCCAGATTACATACCTTAAAAGCGATACAATTTCCGCATTTAGATTCGGATTGACTGCATGTAAACGCTAATAGTCAATCATAAATAAATTTAATCTTTAGATTCTTTACTAAAGGGGAAAAGTGGAGTTTGTATACAAATGCAAGAATATATGCTACAGTACGCAGATTTTGGAGGAAGGAAGCTACGGGAGCGTGGAATCTGGTCAACTCAAAACCCCCAAATGCATCTCGATTTGAATTAAAGTCAAACCTTTTATTAGTTATTATAAGAATAAAATATATTTTATTCAGTCCCTGTTTGATTTCTTTTTTGCAAAAATATATTTTTTTCCTCTTTTTTTCAACCACACATTTTTCAAAAATAATATTACACACAATTCAAAACTTTTCCTTCATTTTTAACCGTACATTCTACATTAATCTACTATTTCAAAATGTATTTTACAACGAACATAAGGCTCAAACAGGCGTTTAAAAAAATTATAATTGAAATAAGATATGTTGGGTGGCATTTAATTTAATTTACTGTACTCTAATTTATTTCTCATATTTATTTTAAATCATATTCATAAAATAAAATATTATATACGTCAACTCAAAATTTTCCATACTTTTTAACCAGACAATCTTCAAACAATATTATTCAAAACATAGATTTTTTAAAAATGAATACCAGTAAACGGGGGCTAAATCAGAAGAAAAATAGTTCTTGTTTATGAGAAAATAATCTAACTTCCAAAACACTTAGGCTATGTTTGATAGCCAAGGAATTCCATGGAAGTAGGAAAACGTTTTCCATTTTCCCCAAATTGTGGCGTTTGATAGCACAAATTTTCCTAGGAAAACATTTTCCACATTTTTCTAGGTACAATCATTTGATGCACAAAAGCTTGATTTTGTTTTCCCACCTATTTGGTGGGAAAATATTTTCCACATTTTTTTTTTGTTGTTTGCAATGGGAACAAATTCTAGATACAATTATTAAAAAAAAATTCACTTTTATTGACAACTTCCATGCAAAACAAAGTCAAACGAAAAATATTCGGTATGGTAAAAAAAAAAATTTCAAATTTTTTTTTCAAAATTTTTTTTTTTTTACAATTGGAACAAATTTTAGACCCAATGGTAGAAAAAATTATCACTTTAATGGACAAATTCCATAAAAAAAGAAGCCAAATGGATACCAAACTTTCAACATTTTCCATGGAAAATTATACCAATCAAACACAATTAATTACAATTCCCAGTAAAACATTTTCTAGGAAAATCAATTCCCTGTAAAACATTTTCTTTCCACCCATTTTCCACCCTTACAATCAAACGGACCCTTAGGTTAAATTAGGTTTCAACTTCCTAACCCGTGACAATGGAATCTTAATTTTTAAAGAGTAAAGTTATGTGGTTCCATTGGGGTTACAATTCCAATTTAGGTAGCGTTAGATAATAGTTTAAATGAAAAGTAAAATTAAATTATTTATGTAATGTCACATTTCATTCAATGCCACATTTTCTCTCTAATTTATAAGACATTATTATCACAAAATTCTAATAAATTGAGTTAGAAAAAGTGATGCACTTCAAAGAAAGATAAGAAGTCTATCTAATTGAATTAGTACTAAAGTAATTGTTCTTTTTCATCCATAAGAAAATGTTTTTATTCTCTTGATGATAAGTTATCGACATTTTTTGTTTATTTTGTTATAATCTTATCACTATATTAATTCATCCATAATAATTTATTGCTCTTGAAGATATTATAACTTAATATTGATAAGATTGATTTATGATTTCTCTAGAAGAAGCATAAATTTTCATATATCAGTATTCCAAAAGAATATTATTTTGTTGTTATTTAAGAATCGCAACCTTATACAAATCAATATTTCAAATGAATATTGTTGCTCCTGAAGAGTACAAATTTGATTGTATCAAAATTTGTTGTTCCTCTTAAAGAACCACAACCTTATTTTAAAAATATTATAGAAAATATTGCGATGCTCCTGAAGGAGAAAAACTTTACAACTTTATGTGTATTTTGAGAAATTATTATATTTACTCTCGAATAAGTATAATCATATACAACTCGGTATTCTAATATTTTTTAGATTATGGCAATTTTATTGAAGAAACACAATATAAGAATATACATATATGTATATGTATATATCTTGACATATAAAGTGCTTGTTTTGATTTGTTGAAATGAAAATAAATGAATATGAAAGATGTTTGGTGACAAATGAACGTATATATTTTCACACTAGCAAGTTTGTATAGAAATTCAAGGTTCTAAGTCGTGTACCCTTTTTGAACTCTCAAGACTCCACCCGCTCCAAAGAATGTGTACCAGTCTAAATCAAGAGTACTCAACAAAATGTGATTCTTCTTCAAGTTTGGAAAATGTCAAATGTGATCAAGTGTTTTATATGTTCCATCCACCAGCTTCAATCTGACTCTACCTATATCAGCAATCTGACATGGTTCGTTGTTACCCATGAAAACAATACCTTGCGTCACCTTTTCATATATTTCAAACAAGTCTGATTAGGACACATATGGAACACACAAAGTTATATCCAAAATTTACTCATCGTTAGGTTTGGATTCCACGTCAGAAGTCATCAAACGATCTCCTTGAACATAGCCATATGATCTTCTAAAGTTCTTCCTTCTATTATGCGATGAGAATACAATATCTACTTTAGATGCAATTTGCTCATCAGATTTTTAGTTATGCATAATTCTTCAAACTTCAAACACAACATATCCGCCATTTTCTTTTTCAAAACGTCCTGAAAAATATTGTTAGAGAGATAAAAATGGATGTGTAAAAATGTCTTCCAATCCTTCCGTTGTTTCTCCCTCATCGTCCAAATTGTGGGCATTTTGTCAAATCCTACCAATGCATCATTCAAATTCATCTTCGTGAGTACTGCTCGTATCTTTGCTTACCACAACGAGAATCTTGTATTGCGGTCTAAGAGCGAAATTTCATACTTCATGGCTGTCATTAATAATAAAAACCTTAAACAAATCACAACCAATAGCTCTGATACTACATGTTTGGAAATAAAACGGATCAAAGTAATATATATGCACAATATAAAGTATATGATCGCAAACAAACAAAAGATAAAAGACAAAGAATTAACTGACAAAAGAACGGAGTATTTTATTCAGTTGACTAATATGGAGAAAACAAATACAATAATTGTACCTACACAATTATTCTATATTTCAATAATACAAAACTTGTGAAAAAAGTCTAGTATTTATAGTGGTGCATGTGAAATCCTAAAAATACCACAAAGATAGAAACAAGATAAAAAATTATATGAAATAAAGGAAACAATATTTTTCCAATAAAAATATGTGGAAAGAAAGAAAAAATATTTTTTCAAAAACTCAACCTAATTTGGATAAAAAGAAAAATCCAACACGACAGTGGTGCGAAGGAGAAATCAATGAAGAACGATCGAGAAGAGATGGGGTACGATGTGTAATTTGTGGCCTATTAAACGAGTAACTTTGCAACTAATATGCCATTGTGAACCATGAATTGTGTTTTATATGACTTGGCCTTGTGTGATGTCATAAAATGTGGCCACCTAATTTTTATATAAGTTTATTATTTTTGAAATTGTGTGTATGAATTTTTCTCAGAGAAAATTACCCCAAACCCTACTTTTAGGAGTGTGCATGAAGTAATGAAATTATAGTGCCAGAATACATACCTTAAAAGCGATAAAATTTCCGCATTTAGATTCGGATTGACTGCATGTAAACGCTAACAGTCAATCGTGAAATAAATTTAATCTTTAGATTCTTTACTAAAGGGGAAAAGTGGGAGTTTGTATACAAATGCAAGAATATATGCTACAGTACGCAGATTTTGGAGGAAGGAAGCTACGGGAGCGTGGAATCTGGTCAACTCAAAACCCCCAAATGCATCTTGATTTGAATTAGAATCAAACCTTTTAGTTATTATAAGAATAAAATATATTTTATTCAGCTACTGTTTGATTTCTTTTTTGCAAAAATATATTTTTTTCCTCTCTTTTTTTCAACCACACATTTTTCACTAAAATAATATTACACACAATTCAAAAACTTTTCCTTTATTTTTAATCGCACATTCTTCATTAATCTACTATTTCAAAATGTATTTTACAACGAAAATAAGGCTCAAACAGGCGTTTAAAAAACTTATAATTGAAATAAACAATGTTGGGTGGCATTTTTGGCCCCCATTTTTTGGGGTTGAAAATTTGTAGAATAGTAATTGATGGGAAAATGTGTGGTGTAAATGTTTTAGATTTGTGTATAATATTATTTTATTTGAGAATGTATGGTTGAGATGAAAAGAGAAAAAAAATGAATGTAATGGAATAAGAAAAAATGGGGCTCAAACGGGGGCTAATTTAATTTACTTTACTCTAATTTATTTCTCATATTTATCTTAAATCATATTCATAAAATAAAATATTATATATGTAAAATCAAAATTTTCCATACTTTTTAACCAGACAATCTTCAAACATTATTATTCAAAACATAGATTTTTTAAAAATGAAGACCACTAAACGGGGGCTAAATCAGAAGAAAAATAGTTCTTGTTTATGAGAAACTAATCTGACTTCCAAAACATTTAGGTTAAATTAGGTTTCAACTTCCTAACCTGTGACAATGGAATCTTAATTTTTAAAGAGTAAAGTTATGTAGTTCCATTGCGGTTACAATTCCAATTTAGGTAGCGTTAGATAATAGGTTAAAGGAAAAGTAAAATTAAATTATTTATGTAATGTCACCTTTCATTCAATGTCACATTTTCTCTCTAATTTATGACACATTATTATCACAAAATTCTAATAAATTGAGTTAGAAAAAGTGATGCATTTCAAAGAAAGATAAGAAGTCTATATATCTAATTGAATTAGTACTAAAGTAATTGTTCTTTTTCATCCATAAGAAAATGTTTTTATTCTCTTGATGATAAGTTATCGACATTTTTGTTTATTTTGTAATAATCTTATCACTATATTAATTCATCCATAATAATTTATTGCTCTTGAAGATATTACAACTTAATATTGATAAGATTGATTCATAATTTCTCTAGAAGAAGCATAAATTTTCATATATCAGTATTCCAAAAGAATATTATTTTGTTGTTATTTAAGAATCGCAACCTTATACAAATCAATATTTCAAAAGAATATTGTTGCTCCCGAAGAGTACAAATTTGATCGTATCAAAATTTGTTGTTCCTCTTAAAGAACCACAACCCTATTTTAAAAATATTATAGAAAATATTGTGATGCTCCTGAAGGAGAACAACTTTACAACTTTATGTGTATTTTGAGAAATTATTATATTTACTCCCAAATAAGTATAATTATATACATCTCGGTATTCTAATGTTTTTTAGATTATGGCAATTTTCTTGAAGAAACACAGTATAAGAATATACATATATGTATATGTATATATCTTGACATATAAAGTGCTTGTTTTGATTTGTTTAAATGAATATAAAGATGTTTGGTGACAAATGAACGTATATATTTTCACACTAGCAAGTTTGTATAGAAATTCAAGGTTCTACGTTGTGTACCCTTTTTGAACTCTCAAGACTCCAAAGAATGTGTACCATTCTAAATCAAGAGTATTCAACAAAATGTGATTCTTCTTCAAGTTTGAAAAATGTCGAATGTGATCAAGTGTTTTATATGTTCCATCCACCAACTTCAATCTGATTCTACCAATATCAGCAATCTGACATGGTTCGTTGTTACCCATGACAACAATACCTTGCGTCACCTTTTCATATATTTCAAATAAGTCTGATTAGGACACATATAGAACGCACAAAGCTATATCCAAAATTCACTCCTCGTCAGGTTTGGATTCCACATCAGAAGTCATCAAACGATCTCCTTGAACATAGCCATATGATCATCCAAAGTTCCGTCTTCTATCATACGATGAGAATACAATATCTACTTTAGATGCAATTTGCTCATCAGATTTTTAGTTATGCATAATTGCTCAAACTTCAAATACAACACATCTGCCATTTTCTCCTTCAAAACGTCCTGAAAAATATTGTTAGAGAGATAAAAATGGATGTGTAAAAATGTCTTCCAATCCTTCCGTTGTTTCTCCCACATCGTCCAAATTATGGGCATTTTATTAAATCCTAACAACGCATCATTCAAATTCATCTACGTGAGTACTGCTCATATCTTCACTTACCACAACGAGAATCTTGTATTGCGATCTAAGAGCGAAATTCCATACTTCATGACTGTCATTAATAACAAAAACCTTGAACAAATTACAACCAATAGTTATGATACTACTTGTTGGGAAATAAAACGGATCGAGGTAATATATATACACAATATAAAGTATACGATCGCAAACAAACAAAAGATAAAAGACAAAGAATTAACTGACAAAAGAACGGAGTATTTTATTCAGTTGACTAATATGGAGAAAATAAATACAATAATTGTACCTACATAATTATTCTATATTTTAATAATACAAAACTTTTGAAAAGAGTATAGTATTTATAGTGGTGCATGTCAAATCCTAAAAATACCACAAAGATGGAAATAAGATAAAAAATTACACGAAATAAAGGAAACAATATTTTTTCAATAAAAATATGTGGAAAGAAAGAAAAAATATTTTCTCAAAAACTCAACCTAATTTGGGTAAAAACAAACCAACACGACAATGGTGCGAAGGAGAAATCGATGAAGAACGAGAGAGGAGTGTAATTTGTGGTCTATTAAACGAGTAACTTTGCAACTAATATGCCATTGTGAACCATGAATTGTGTTTTATATGACTTGGCCTTGTGTGACGTCATAAAATGTGGCCACCTACTTTTTATATAAGTTTATTATTTTTGAAATTGTGTTTATGAATTTTTCTCAACGTAGAAATTCTAGTGATATTCCAAACGGGCCATTTAATAGCTCTAATGGATCCTCCAGAAATCAATTGCTGTACAGTTTGGGCTTTTCAAAGATTAATGGATCAGTGCTATGGTTCGAAGGCAAGAAATTGGAAACTTGAAAGTTGAGACCAATAGCATGGCAGGGGTCCAAATGCGATTTTAGCGGTCTTTTCCGTTGTATGTATATTTGTGAACAAAAATGCTTGACATCCCTCTCCCATGGGTGGGGCCCGCGATTATTTTAATTGTGGACCCCACCAAATGTATGTGAGGTGGCTATCAAAATTAATGTAGTTGTAGCATTGTTCATTTGTGAAAGGTAGGGACGTTTTGCGTCAATTACCTTTTAAAAATATTCTATCTACTAATATACTTCGATTTTTTCATATTTTCTCTCTTTACATTATACTAATTCTGACGTTAAAGAAAGAATATAAGAAAGCCTCCCACCTTTTTTATTATTCTTTTTTCAAATCACCAAAACATCGAAAAAACACATTTTGAAGACCCATTTTCATAGGAAACATTAATTAATTATACAACATCAACAAGTGGATTGTTACAAAGAAAATTCCACACTAGTAGATGTTTAAATTCTTGTCAAAGTCAAATTACCCAAAACTTAGGGTTTACCAAGATTATGTTTAGAAAGTGACGTAAGACCATTTATTGAAAACTTTTCATTTCATAATTATCTCAAGTTGTTAATCATTCATTGCCTCAACAATTTCAAGCATTAAAAGTCTATTTGAATTTGAATTCAAAAAGGCCATTTATAATTTTGTCAAACCGACCATTTGTCCAGATGTATCTTTTTGAAATTCCAATTGGGATTAAGACACGTGACACTAAATTTTGGTAACCTTGATTAGATAGATGGTCATACAAAATTTCTATTTCCGCAAACTCAAAACCTCTAGGTTAAAGACAAACAAATTCAAATATGCAGCATTATCTTTCTTTTTTCTTTTGTGGAATAAACCTGATACAAACACCAGAAAGAATAAAATAAAGATAAGTCTTTAATTTGAATTTATTTCATGGTGTTGAAATGTCAATTCATGGAAGCAGAACCAAAATATATATCACACATTCACGATAAGGCGGACTATATTTTGACTGCCAAATAATTCTGAAAAATTATCATTATTTTCAAAGGTTTCTTTTAAGATATCGATAAAATCAACCCTAAATTTATTGATTTTACTGGATGATTACTATTTCGTTGTCTTGTATTTTCAGCGATACAAAGTTTATAGTTTACCGAATTTGGTGTTCAACGTAGCATGAAATTGTTGTAAATAATTCAACTCTCATTTGTCTTGACATCACGGTTACGTAATCGTATGTATAATAATAAGTTGAGAATTACTTTTAAAAAAATAAAAAATTTAAGAGTGCATAATTTTAATTTTTTAAGAGTTCATAGCTCGTTGGGAAAAAAAATAACTCAAAAAGTGATTATGCACAAATGACACGTGTCAGGTAAGCAGATGATCAATGACGTGTCGTAATCTGGGAACGGGACCACAGTCTTGTCTCGTGGTCGGTGTCAGCCAGTGCTGGGTTGGTTTGACAATGCCAAAAAACAACTTTTTCAAATTTGTCTTGTAAAAGCTTGAAATTCTGCAAATCCTAAAAGACATAAAAGTAATTGATTTTATTTAGTTTTGTGTAACGTTTCCATGAATAACCATATATTATTTAAATTCGATTTAATAAAAAGCAAACTGCTTAATTTTTTATTTTGAGATGGCATATCGCTCAAGTCAGTCTTTGAGATTTCTTTCTTTTTTGATATTTGATTAGAATATATTATGATTTTATCTCCGCATATTCATATATATCACCTTCTATAACAATTCTTAACTTCTAATTCTCGTGAATAGGAATGGCTTGGCATTTTACCAGCCAAATTGTGAATGGCCTGACCCGAACCAGCTCGGGTATCCAAATAGTATATTGAATGTGCAAAAAATGTTATAACAAATTGTAACACAGCTACCACTTCCTAGTAGATTGTTAAGGAGTACAAGCAGATCTCTCTCATTTAATACTTGACTGTGATCCAGAAAGTCCATGTTCAAACCTTGGCTCAGAATCAAATTCACATTTTGCTTAATTCTTAAAAAATTAAAAATTGCCGAGGGCAGCCTAAGAATTAGGTTTAGCTTAAAATGGGACACTGAAAAATCTACAAACAAGTACAAAAAAAGATGCCAAAATGTGAGTGGGTCATGGATTGACTTTCAAGTGTTAGGTTTCAGTATCACATGCAGATAAGAAAAGCCAAATTAGGCCTTTTTGGAAATTAATGAACAATGGGCCCATCACGAGCCCCGCCATACCTTTACATCTTAATGCACCATGGGTCCCATTTCAATATATGTGATGATGCTTAGCCCTTTTTTTCTTCAAGAACAAAGCCACATGTGTAAGTTTCACAAAAGTTCTACACACCCCCACATGGGTGGGTCCCATGCCGGACCCATGATAATAAAAAATTGGTAAAAAAAAAAACTCACCCTTCCTCCTAAATATCGGTGGGGGTTTTGTTTTGTGAAGAACCCCCACCTTGTATCCATATCACAACTCTTCGTTTAATTTGCTTGTTTTCATCCTTAACAAGAATTCTTTTTGACGAGGTTTCGATCCATTCAATATGTGGTTGATTCTTGGGCACTTGTTACCCTAGAGTCTCTTTCATCTCATAAACATTATATTTGTGAGTGTGAAATTTCATATTCTTCTTTTAGTATAAGTTTCACAAAGCCCATTCAACATGAATGATTAGACACATGGTTTTCACTCATTAGATAGGATATAGCGGTGTCAAAACTTAATGGTACATGACTTCATGTTACAAGGGAAAAAAAAGAGGTCCTCTGCTAAGATATTGAGGTTAGAAACTGCAATTATTTGTCTGTACAAAATAGACGCATGACTTACACGAAATCTCCTGATGAAGCACCATTTTGGGTACCAGAACCCAAAGTCGATTTTATTGACTTGAATGCATTGCATAATTCTTTATTTCACACACTACACTATAATAGTCATTAATCAATCCTGCCCATTTCAATTAACTTTGAAATTCATCATCTTGCCATAAGGCTTTGTCTCACCATACTGTGCTAATCAATGCACTTTGACCAGTCGAAAGACACAATTCGCTCAACTTGAGATGATCTTTAATCCCTACTATAATGACTTGCCCAGCCTTGCAATCATTGATGAAAAAGGGAAAATCTCAACCGGAACAAAACGCGTGGCAGTGAATTGAAACTCTGGTGACTCTCAATTGATAATCAATACATAAAGTAGCTTTTTTCTCCAATGTACGGATCAGAACACGGGATGGCAAGGAAACTTCTGATTTTATTATGTACTCGCAAAGATTTTTGGATACTCGGCTTGTTCATCCAGTTGTTCACGGATCTGTTTGAGATTTGGAAGGAACGGTTCGAAGAAATCTTTTTTATCAGAAAAAACTAATTTTCAGACAACTTATTTATGAAGATCTTAACTAGAGGAGCATGCTTGGATATTTTAAAGTTATTTTTCTACACAAATAAATTTTAGTCATAACAGTGAACATTTAGGGTGTGTTTGATTGTATGGGTGGAAAGAAAATGATTTTCAGGGGAAACGGGAAAACAATTGCCTATAAAATATTTTACAGGGAATTGGTAATTAAGTGTGTTTGATTGGTATAATTTTCCACCCAAAAGATTTTTAAATTTTCTATTCGTTTGGCTTTATTTTATATGAAAGTGTCTATTAAAATTATAATTTTTTTTCATAATTGGTGATAAAATTTGTTTCCATTGCCAAAAAGTAAAAAAAAAATATTGTTTCCTAAAAAATCATTTTTTTCATCAAACAGGGCCTTAAGGTCAAATTATTTCCGGAATCTTTCATGTGATGTGGTTCTAGATCTTCAATCTTTGAAATTAAGATTTTGAGCCCTGATCTATTTAAATTGGTGAATCTATGGATATTCAAATTGTTAATTAATTTTATGGTTTAGCGCTCTACATTTGATTTGAGTAAGGGAAAATTTTGAATCATGCGAAGAACCGAGGTTAAAGGTTTAAAATTTCACTTTTGAAAATTAGAAAGTCTGGCTTTAATTTTCTCAATATTTATAAATTTTGAGTCCATGGAGACCACACAGGGAAAGAAAAAAAAAAAAAAATCATTTCCTCTGCAGCTATAAATACACCAAGAGGGCACCACATATTTAGACTCAAAAATCCTTTTATACCTAACAGCAACATCATAACCAAATTTATTACTTCGCAATTAACGCTCTCTCTCTCTCTCTCTCTTAAAGTTGCTCTGATCTTCAATCCTTCATAATTCATTACTCTACTGCAAAACTCTGTCCCAGCTTAATTCACCGGTTCTCCTGTTTCATTAAAAAACTTGTTTCTATTTCGAATTTTGATCTGTACTCTTTTAAATTCGAGGGAAAAGGTGATTTTTTTTTCAGCACCCTGTATCCTCCTCTGTTTTTTGCAGATTTAAAATCTAAAACCATACATGAAAAATGGCTAAAATCCAAGAAAACAGAACCCAGTTTGTGTCTGACGATGTTGGATCCTCACTTTCGCGACTCATTTTAACTAGTAATTCGAACACCTTGGATTCAATTTTTTCCCATTGCCAACAATCATCAAACCTTGATGCCATCCCTGTTTTCCAGCCATTAGGCTCTTCAGTATACCTAAAACAAAGGGACTTGTTCCAAAAATTCTGCCATGAGAATAAACCAAACACTTCAATTGCCAAAATTTCCCTCCCAAACCCACCTCAACAACCACTTTATGCACAAAATTATTTCAGCCCAAGCAAGAAAAAGCTGTATAGAGGGGTCCGACAGAGGCATTGGGGCAAATGGGTGGCGGAAATTAGACTTCCACAAAACAGAATGAGAGTTTGGTTGGGAACTTACGACTCCGCGGAGGCTGCCGCCTATGCTTACGACCGCGCTGCCTATAGACTCCGCGGCGAATATGCTCGCCTGAATTTTCCGAATATAAAGGATCCAAGTGAATTGGGATTTTGCGATGGCGCCAGATTGACTGCTCTGAAGAATGCAGTAGATGCCAAAATTCAAGCAATTTGCCAAAAGGTAAAGCGAGAAAAAGCTAAAAAGGCAGCCAAAAAAAGTGAAAAAGTAGAGGAAAATAAAGTTGATCATAACTCATCTTCATTGGAAATGGTTTCGCCAAGTATTTCTGAAGACGGGTTTTGGAAGGGTGAGAATTCACCTTCCTCGGTTTCCTCCATGGATTCGGAGCTTGAATGTTGTTCACTTTCTCGGATTCCATCTTTCGACCCGGAATTGATTTGGGAAGTTCTTGCTAATTAATTCTAATATTCAGTTTTCTTAGTTAATTTTAAACATATTTTTCAGCACTAGTAAGAATATATGGTCAATTCCATTTGTGGTTTCTTTCATGTTTTATGCATTTTTACATTTATAAATGTATGTTATTATTATTATGGTATAGTCTTTTCCAGTTATTTATTTTCTATTTAGTTATGTTATGTTTTTGAGACTAGACTATAATACTCAATGCACATACAATGGACGTGGATCCAGGCCTACGCGTGAATGCAAATTTAATCACGTTAAATTTCATCCAGGGTCATTGAACTTTGGCAATATCTTAATTGTACTCTGAACTTTCGTTTGTCTCGATTGGGTTATTAAGTTTCAAATTAATTTTAAATTTGACAATTCTATCAAACATCGTCCTCCAAAATAACGATAATTACTTAGTTGATAGTCATACGATAACTAATCTTCCATGTAATTGCTAAGTAGAACTATAGTTTTAGACTCAAATGTATAAATCGTGCTTTTATTCTAACACTTCTATAATGTGATGCAGTGGTAACTTTCAATTAAGCATTTTCATCAATTTTAAAGACGGGAGGTGACAGTTGTTAAATTTAAAATTAAGCCCCCGTTTTATCCCCATTATTTTTCATTTTTCTCTTTCTTCGTATCAACTATACATTCTAAAATAAAATAATATTACACGTAAATTCAAAAAAACTCATTCCTTTTTAACAACACATTTTTCAAAAAATTACTATTTTTTCTCATTATAATATGGAATAATGGGCCCAAACAAAGTTACGATCAAGTTTCATAGTTGAAACTAAATAGAAACTCAGTAACTCGATTGAAATATAAATACAGTATGTTGGAGCCCCATTTTAGCAAATAATACATTTTATAATAGTAGATTGATGGATAATTTGTAATTAAAAAATAATGAAAAGTTTTGGATTTGTATATAATATTATTTTATTGAAAAATGTGATTAAAAAGAAAAGAGAGAAAAATATATTTTGAAAATAATGTGAATCAAACAAAGACTAAAAATTTAGTTAGAGAATATTTCTGAAGTACAAATTTTGTTGCACTTGCGTTTATTATTGTATTATAATCTTGCTCAATTCACATTTTCAAACAAATCGATAATATATTCATTGATACATCAAGTGCGCAAAATTCGTAGCATATTTACTTGCAATTTGAAACATACTGATATACAAGTTTCGAACAGCTAAAAGTGTCCCCTAGATTGCATTGCTTTCTTGCAAAAATAACTAAGTCTATGTTTGACAATCACTGTTTGGGGAAAATATAGTTTTTAATAGTGATTTTCACGAGAATTTGTGGTTAAAAATATGAAAAATTTGAGTTTAAATGCAAAATATTATATTATGTGAATGTGTAATTGAAAATGAACGTACAAAAAAAAAGAGTTTGAAAATAATCATCGTTAAGTAGGGCTTAAGCATAATAACCAAAAAAGTTAGAAGGGTCCATACTCCCAAGAGTAGGGACGGCAACGGAATGGGACGGGATGGGATGGAGAGGGGTCCTTGCCCCGTTTACTACCCGTTTAATTTTTTTCTTTTTAGCTTTTAATAATTTATTTTTATTGCACATATTTATTAGATTTAGACAAACAATTTTAGTTGTTATTTTCTATTAAAACTAATTTGTGAAAATTTTCATTCAGAGTATTGAATTCTAAAAAAAAATATTTAACGGGACGGGGCGGAGCGCCTGTTACCCGTCCCTGCTTCGAATACCTGATTAAACTGGTTATCCCTCCCCGTTCGGGGTGGGGCCCTGTGGGTATTGGGTTTGTCGGGTTTTTTTGCCATCCCTATCCAAGAGTAACATAGGGTGGACTTTGTGATGGGCCAGGCCCAATACGTAATGTGTTCATATGGCTAAAATATGGCCCAGAAGAGCAAGTAATATTGAACGGGCCAGACCATCTTATTTGACTTACCATTTATAGAAAATTTCTGAAAATCTACATGGAAACTTAAGAGATAACTATAGAGTACTTGTTTTTCTGATTAAAACTGATCATTACTGCTTAACCAAAATTTAATGATTTACACTCTGTAAAAAATAAGGCAAAAGGTTTTATGCTTTGATCATTAAGGATTTCCAACGGACCTTTTTCAGTTATAATTAGGGTTGGGCAAAATGTCTGAACCAAACCGAATCGAGCGGATTTTTTAAAATGAAATACCCGAACGGGTATCCGAATCGAGAACCGAATAGTTTGGTTCGGTTCTCGGTTCTAGACCCAGAACCGAAAAACGGATTAAGAACCAAATTTTTTTTTTAATATTGGATAAATCAATTTCTTTTATTTTTTTTAAACAAATTAATAATTTTTTTTCTTATTAAATCTTATTAGTTGAACAATTTAGAGTTTATTTATGTTTGTTAGT